CCCCGAGTTCCTCGGAGCCGGTGCCGCCAGGGCCCTCACCACTGAGTCGGGCAGGTCCCTGACGCAAGCGGGAAGACGGCACACCACAACGACCCGAGCCTCCTAACGCGCGAGTGAGGGGGGGCGCCCCGGAGCCCGGCATTATATACACCGCCGCCGGGCCCCGCCCCCTGCACCTCGCGGACCAATCAGAGGCCGCTCCTGCGTCTCATATTCATGAGCTGGGGGCCGGGTCTATCTCGGCTCCGCCTCCTCCCGCGCGCTGGTGTCGGGCTAGACGATTGGCCGGGACGTTTCCAGTCCGCAGTCCCCCGCCCGCGCTCGGGGGGGCGTGGCCAGCGCGCGGCGGGGCGGGGCTGACCCAGTTCCGCGTGCCCTCTCCCTGGCCCGCGGCGGGCAACAAATGGGCCTCTAGCTCCGGTTCGGAGGCCTCCGGCCTCATGGGGACCTCTCGGTGTCACTAGGACCCCGACTTTGCCTGTGCTCCAGCAGTCCCGACATAACCTAGCCCAGATCCCCTACCCAACCAAGCCCCGGCTGTCAGACATCCCAACTTCATCTGAACCCCGATACCTGTCTTGATATTCTTGCCACTACAACCGACATCCCAGTTTTCCCAGCACCCCAGCACTCCATTCCTGCCATCAACCCCATGCCCACCCAAACCCCAACAAAGACAACCCCATTCATGCGAACCCCAACATTCGCAATCCCAGTTCTTCCTACTTCGCCACACTTTGGTGCACCCCAACTTTACGCAACCCAGTTTGCCTACAAACTCCAACCCGTACCTAAGCCTAACTCCCACTGGAACCGCGACTTCACGGCTGGGTGCATCGCCCACACCCCCACACTCGCCTGGCCAGATAGTGTTGTGCGTCCCTACTGTCGGATGCAAGCGGACACCCCGAGTCCCCACTGCACCCCAGCACTCAGCCCGGCCCTCGGCCTCCCCTCCCACCGTGCTGCACACCCAATGCGCACTCGCTCCCCACGCCGGGCCGGGCCCACTCTGCTCCTCCACCCAGGCCTTTTCTCTCCTTCCACAGACCTCCCCTACTGAGCCCGGCTGACAGAGGGGAGTCTCAAAGCCTCCGCCATCTGGAGAACCAGCTATGCAAGGACCCTCACTCCCTACTCTTCGGCGGCCCCAAAGCCTCTGGGGAGCCCTCTATGGCCACCACTTCCTCCTCACCCAGGCCTCATCTCATGCTGCCCCCTCCCCCGGCCCTGGTGGAAGAAACCAGCGTGGACCTCTGCCTCTCTGCCCCAGAAAGTCTCAGGAGGGCTGACCCTCTGCTCACAAGCTGGGGGGAGTTGGGGTACAGAGACCCCCGTTTTGCGGCTCACCTCAGGGAAATCCTGGTCCCACTCCTGGCCTCAGACTCACTCCCACCCTCAAGTGGATCGAAGTGGGGGTAGCCAAGGGCGCTGTCTCCAGTGACAAGGTCTCCGGGACCCCTCATGGGCTCAAGACCCCTCCCCCCGACAGCAGCTGTGTGACTCATCACCACCCCCTTTGCACCTCGGCCCCCCCCCACTACAGCCGCCCCGCTCCCCGTCAGCAGCAGCCGGCTGCTGCGTCAGCCACTCACGCAGGGTGGTTATTAAAGGAGCGGGGAGAGACATCAGCACCGAGCTCCCCTACGCCCGCCGTCCGTGCGGGAGGGGCCACCCACCCACTGGAGCCCCAGACGCGGGCTCGGCATGCCCAGCCGGGGAGCAATTCAGGCCCATTCTTTCTGATCTGCCCCCCAGCCCCCAGCCCCAGCAGTCAGGGCGGGGACGTTCCCTGCCCCTAGAGAAGCCCTTGTAGGGGGGGCGTTGGAGGGGGTCCCCGGTAGCCACAGCGGCCCCTTCATAATTGCATAATTCTTGCCGCCCCCCCGCAACCCATCGCTCCCTGGTTCTGTGAGCCTCTGCCTTTTCCTGGTTTTGTAAAGCGCCCGTGTTCATTCATTCATTCATTCATTCTGCCAGCGCCTAGTTATTAAGCGCTTACTACGAGCCGGTTCCTGGGTGCGGGCTCCGTGAGTGCCCGCAGCCGTCCTGGGTTCCCAGGGTGGCGTCGACGCGCACCTGCGCACACCTTCCGCTTTACATCCGCCCCGAGCACTGCGCACCGGCTTCCAGGTGTGGGACCGGTGTCCGTACCTGTGCCTCCGGGGTCACCTGCGTCTGCGAGCACCTGTGACTCCCAGGTGTCTCACCGCCACCCTGTGTCCCCATCGAGGGTCTCAGGAGGCTGGGACCCCGTCATCCACCCCTGCTGGCAGCTCAGCACTCCAGACCCGACCGGGGCGCGCTGCCCGTTGCGGACACGAGGGGGCGCTACGGCCTCGCTCCGTCCGCGGCGTTTGGGTCGAGCGCCCGGGCTCCTGGTGCCCCTCCGCGCAGACGCCTCGCGTGGGAGAGGGAGCCCCGCCGCCCAGCCCTGCGCGGCCACAGTGCACAGTCCTCGAGAGGCCCAATCTCGCGGGGCGAGGACGCAGCCTGCGTGTCGACCCCGAACCGCCCGCCACCCCCGCGCCTCGGCCCCAGCGGAGGGGCTCAAAATAGCCGCGCCGGGCGGGGGCGAGGCTGCTATTCCGGGCCCGACGCGCGGGGCTCGTCCCTGTCCAGCGAGGCGCGGGGATCAGCCAGAGTCCCCGAACCTGCTCCCCGCGTGTCTCTCTTGGGCCCCGTGGGCCCATTCACAAATGCCGCCCACTTTCCTGCCTGCCGTCTCGGAGGGGGCGCGCGCCTCCTGCACCCCGATACTCCTCCCGGGCCCCCGCCCCTGCATGACGTCACCATGGAGACGGGGGCGGGGCCCCTCACGCCCGCACCGCCCACTCCTCCCTCCCCGCGGGGCCCCGCCCGCCGGACGCCGGGTCCTCCCCCGACCCCGACTAATGACCGGGCGGGAGGCGGTAGAAAGCGTCTAGGCCTGGGACGGGCGTGGCCGGGGATGAAAGGCGCGTGGGGGGTACCCCGAGGCCGCATAATTACCGCCCCCTCCTAGGCAGGCGGGGGCCAGGACCGTGCACCTGGCGGCTGCCCCGCGGGGGCGCGGAAATAGGACCGTCCTGGCAGAGGATGCAGCCGGCCCAGCTGGCCCCAGTACGCGGGGCCCAGAGCCAGGGTGGGGGATGCAGAGACCGGGAGTGCGGGTTGCCAGGTGTGGCGCACATGTGTGCCCGTGGGCAGAGTACAGAGACACAAGCTTGTGTAGACACGAATGTGTAGCTGTGTGCGAGTGCATACGATGTGGGGTGTGCAGGGACCCCAGGCCGGCCTGTGTCGGAGCGCAGGGCATATAGGGGTGTGCGCACAGTCTTGGAGGTGTGTGCACGGAGGCCCCGGCACCTGCATGTGTGCAAGTACGCAGGAACCCGTCTGCGTGGCGCTGTGTGTGCAACACAAAGAGGTGGGCGCTTATCCGGATATGGATGTGGGGGCAGCCAGGGACAGGGCTGCGTGTGCGTGACTCGGGTGTGCCGGGACCCACAGAGCATATGTGTCCATGCCTGGTGCTGTGACTCATGTCCCTGGGGTAGGCACGCGTGCTGTGTGTCAGCGGGAGCGGCGCCTCCCAGGGCGGCCCAGAGTTCAGAAGCCCAGAGGAGGAAGGGTTAAACCTGCCCCTCCCCTCAGCCCCTACCTGAGTCCGGGGGTGGGATCCCAGGTCCCCTGGGAGGCCTCGGCCCCCCACCCCCACCCCACCCCACGCCCACCCAGGGCCTGAGATTCAGGGGCTGCTACACAAGAAAGCCTGTCTGAGCTGCTCTGCAGCCTCAGTTTCCCTCCTGTTCCTCAGATGCGGTCGCAGGGTGGGTCGGCTTCCCTTCCCTGTGACTCACCCCCTCCCCACAGGCCTGAGTCACAGCTCAGGAATGTGGAGGCTGGGAGGCCCTGTCCACTCCTGCCCCAGCCAGGCCATCCCAGCAGCCCAAAGGCCAGGCCTGGGCCACAGATGGACATCCCTGGCACACACACCCCGTCACAGGCCACACACAGGTGCACACCCACACCCCTGCTTCACACCCACTGGACACAAAGTGATACGCCATGCATTGGGCATCCGGAGACCCTGCCGGCCACAGGCACACACAGTAGACAGGCTGAGGATGGGTAGGGCCCGACCTGCCCTGGGGTCACTCACACACCTGGTCACTCTTTCAGTACACGGGATGCTGCAGAGACATCGGTGACCCCTTCTGCTGGGGCCCAGACCAGCCAGCACGTGGCAGACCTGCAGTGATGTACGCCCATGCATGTCTGTGACGTGCAGATCAGGTGTCTGTGAAAAGTCCAACACTCTGCATGGCCCACAGACACCCTAAAGCTGACCGAGGTCTAGGCTCACCTGCGTGGAGGCTGGGAATGCAGCCGCCTGCTTTCTGAAACTGGGAAAAGGTCCGGGGACTCTGGAGTCCCCACTGCTTAGCAACAGATGCTGCACCCTGGGGTGGGAGGAGGGATCCCCACCTGGGCCCAGCTCCCTTTCATGGGACTACAGATCCGGTGCTTAACAGAGGCCAAAGAGTCGGGATTTCCTGCAAAGACAACCAGGCTCAGAGAGGCCCTGCCTGGGGCAGGCAACAGTGGAGTGGGATGAGTGGAGAGTGTCCCCCTACTCGCCCAGGCAGTTGCAGGGGCTCAGGACCTATGGAGTGAGGGTGAAGACACCTATGTTCCATCTTGCTGGAGAGGCACCTGGCACCTGCCCGCCCTAGCGTGCCTGGAAGGTTCCCACATCCAGGCAAAGAGATGGGCGAGGGGACACCTGTCCAGGCACCCATGGTTGCTCAGGCAGACCCTGGAGGGTCAGGGGCCCAGCTGTGAGGCAGGCAGTGCCCAGGACACTCTCCGCACCTCACTGCTTCATCTGAGAGGTGGGCATGCCGGCAGCACCTCCTGGGGTCAGAGGCGCATGGGGAAGACCTGGTAGGAAGTCGGTCGAGGGCAGTTAGCAGCAAAAGATAGCTCCACGCAGCGCCCGGCTCTCCTTGTTGTTCGCCTCCTTGATGTGGCAGTCCACACGGAATCATCCCGTACGCAGGCCGGGAGCGATGGCTCATGCCTGTAATCCCAGCACTTTCGTTTGAGTCCAGGAGTTTGATACCAGCCGGGACA